CTTTCCTCCCAGCACTATCTCATCTACTTTGAACCTTGCTAAAATATCTTCCTTTTTTAAATAAGAATACATAGGATAACATAGCCAACTGCAAATGTAGGTAAGGCTTATGTAACAGGGTATTAATTATAAATGAAAGTTATTGCTTCAGATGATGAAATTTTATGTATGCTTTGTAGGAGACATGGAATGTGACTGGTTCCATACATTCATGTAATGAGAGACAGGTATGATCACAGTATGATGTTTCCTAGTCATCACAGTCACCAAAATGGTAACTTTGAAGTTTGCTTATATAAACATGTAATTAAACAAATTTCCCTTCCAAAAAACCAAAGCTCTTCCAAGAGCTATGTTAGTCCTTGGCTAACAAAAGGCATGTCCTGAGCTTAAAGAGCTCTTTTCTTCACAGGTAAGAAGATTTACAAGCATCTCCTATTATCTCAGTTTTGAGATAAACAGTGTTTTATTTTAACACCCTCCCATGCAGATGTCCTTAAATGTCAGCCTTAATTGGGATTGAAACAAATGCCTGCACACAGTGAATGTAAATCACCTTACTTAAGGCAAGATGTACAAAACATCTCTGGATAGGGATTCAGGAAAGCATAAAACAAAAACCATTTTTTTTGGTTAGAGTAATCACTGGTTTCTTAATATATTTAAGTAATATGCTTTTAAGTCTCTAGTGAATGAGAGAACAGATGGGCTGGAACATCTAAGGCAAATACATGAGTAGTCATGAATGTAGACTTCCAAATCTTTTTTTTTTCTTCTTCTTCTTATCTTTGGGTGATTTCAGATCTTTCTTTAGGTCAGATCAAAGCAAGGCAGGGAGCCAAAGTCTTCTATATATTACTTTATTGTGACTGATTCACCAAGCTCCCCTAGCAAATGGCTGTAGCTTTGACAAAGAACTAGTTCATCCTTCTGCATACTTTCAATTTTCGTGTAAGTTCAACGTTGAATTCACCTGTAAGTTTGTAAGACCCCCTTAGTTATTGCATTATATTGGATTCCTCAGTTGAGCAATTAAGATAATATGACTTCACCATGCTTTGATATAAACCATAGCTTTCTGAAGTCCCTTACAGTTGCTTACACTGGACAGTAAATCAAATGGGTGAGTTAATCTCTAGTAGGTAGAATCCAGGGAAACAAAGATGAAAATTATCTTGCCTGAATTTTCTGTATGCTACTTGCCTCAATCAATCTCTTTTCCCCCCTTTCCTTTTATCTGCATCAAGGCAATCAAGGATCCACAAATTCATTTGCTTCTGAGTTAAAATAGTGTATAAATGTTATATCCTTCCTCCTTGGTAAGAGTTAAATGAGCCTATATATTGACCCCTTTGAAAAAATTATTTTTGTTAAGGGCATGCCATCACTGTGGGTTTGTCCCCACTTTCTCTGCCATCTCCCTGGGCAGTTCAGAGTGACAGTCATTGATGCATATAGCTTCAAACAGCTATTGCTATTCTAGTACAAAATGTCATTAAAATCTAGACTAGTATGTAGCAACTCCTACTACAAGAGTTATTCAAATAGAAGCCACAGGACTCTACTGTTAGAATCATACATTGATTTAGCTGACACAACTTATTAAACCATCACGTTCAGAAAAATATCTCTCACTTTAATGTCACTGTACGAAACCAGAGCAGAACAAGACTTCCCCATCTGCATTTTAATACTCTATATGGCTGTCTGCCTAAACTGGTAATGGTAGAGCAAAGGAGAAAAGAACAAATTTATTCAAAATCCATGCTATTTGAAAACAATATCTTGCCTAATGGATATACAGAAATAGGACACCCAGAAAAGATCTGGCCTAAATCACGGTGCTAAAATGTGTCTTGCATTTCTCTGGGATTTTTTTTGGTTGCTGGTTGTTTTTTTGGTTTTGTTTTGTGTGTTTGATTGAAAGAGCTATAGCTATCTTTTGTTCTTTCAGAATTGGTCTGTAAATCATCTTTTCCAAATTTACAATTTAGAAAAGAACACCAACAACACATTCCTCATCTATTTCTCAGTAATACTTGAGGAACACAGTCTTCCTCAAATATTCAATTTCCATTATAATGCAATGACTAGAGAAAAATCACATTATTGATTCTATTTTTCACACCTCAATTTTCTGTATGTTATTTTGTATAGAAGAGCTTTGTATACTGACTTTCAGTGCTGGACAGCAGATCTTTTGTAAGGGTCTACTTCTCTTGCATTCACAGTGTTGCTATCCTACAACTGTAATTGGTCAATAAACAAAGTCTACCAGGTCTCTTCATATCAATTTTATGGGGGGTCTTTTATGATGTAAATAATTCTGTCCAATGTCATCACATCCGTTGAGTGTTATTTCTCTGACAGTACAATTATTCTAGCATAAACAGGATTCTGAGTTTTAAACTCTTAGTTGTACATATATCCCAACTCCCAGAAATACTGGGTATAAGACTGCTTCCCCTCTCTGACTGCCAAAACCAGCAGCTCCAAAGATCCCTTTTTCCTAAGGCAAGATTTGCTTCTGATGAAACTTTTTCCACTTGTACAATTTTCTTCTCTGAAGACTGGAGACCTCATATTATTAGTGTGTTCATTGTGTGGAAAGTTTTCTTGCAACTAAATGTTTTGTTGCTGTCTAAATTCAGCATCCTTCACTTCCCTGTTAATATCTGTTGTGACAGCTAAGCAGTATCATTTGTTCAATTTAAAGAAAAGCTGTCAAACTTTGAAAAACATATGTACAAGGCACACAACTGCACACATACACATGTGTTTGCAGTATGTTTACTTTTTATTGTATTCACTAAACAAGCAGTAAAAGCTGAATCAAATGGACACTTATTTTCAATGAAAAATCAACCCAAATCTTTTAAAGGTAGTTTAAAACTTTTAAAGGTAGTTTAAACTTTCCTTTTTTTTTCCCACATGAAAGAATACATGTGTACATACATGCATGTCCTCTAGCTTCCAGGCCAGGTGGGTACTGGAGGTAGGAAGACTCATGGGATGTATGAGCAAGAAACACATCAAACTCCTTAGCTACATACGAGACAGATATACCTCCCCACACAACTGAATCCTGATCACAATACAGCAAATATCCATATCCTCAGGCTCTTGCATTCACAGCTCAGCCATCTAAAGCCTGAATCGTATGTTTTTAGGTCCATAAAAATGTTCTAGTGATCAGATTTCATTGCAAAGACAGGACAGAGAGAAAGCTGGTAAAAGGGTTTGTGGCAAATACCAGCTGAGAATAGGTAAATTAGCTTGAATAAAAAAATTACTGAAATTAAATGCAGAATAATAAGCTCAAATTTATACTAGAATTCTAATTGTCTTTAATATTTTGCTCTTTTGCTATGGCCTTACTGTAAGCCTCAGCACACAGGCATGCTGCAGAACAAAACAAAAATCACTTGGTTAAACTTTCAAAAACCTCTTTATCAGAATGACAGCCAGAGCAGTACTCATTTATTCTACCCAGGCTGAACAACTACTTTGGCTTACACCAAAGACACCAGATTTATCTTTGGTTGAAGAGGAAAAAAAGAATGCCCTGGGCAATATATTTTATATTAAAAAATACTTCTTCTTCACAATCATAAAACATGAAAAGGCCAAAGAAGATTGCTTCCTAGACATAAGAAGGAGCACAAAGAAAATAATACTTCAGAAAAGCAGTTAGTAACCTCATAATGTCACTCTTCAATGTGGAAGGAGATGGAAGAGTATTGTTCAAAGGGTCTTTGACTTACTGATGGTTAAATGATGTTTTTTTCAAAGAAAGCATGGTAAGAAATAATAATAACATGAAAAAAAGATTAATTCCAGATTAATCACTGATATGTCTGTGATTTATCTGAATCTTAAGAAGAAGCTATCATACTAAAGACAGAATTGCCAGAATAATGCTAAATTCATCATTAATTTACTGCGAGAACAATGTCACTGTAGCTGATCCCATTATATGGCTGGTACCACGAAATATCAAAAAGTGACCTTTACATTGGCATTAGTGGAGTAGTTAAAAAACACACTTGAATAACATTTATTATCTATAACAAAAGTGCTTTAGGAGAAGCAACACATTTCCAAGAAAAAGAGAAACATTTAATCCGGTTGAAATGTTTCAAAATTTAAAATAATTAAGGAACCACTATAGGATGCAATAGATTCAGGTTTAAGCAAGCATTTGCTTTTATTCCAAAGGTTGATAGGTCAATAAATGGAGAAGTTTACAAGGACCCATGAAAGCAGATGGAGGAGCAACCACAAATTCCCAATATAAAATTCATTGTGGCTAATAAATTATTGGAAAAATATTTTGTAAAAAATATATTCATTGGAATTTTAAATTACTTCCTAAATAAGACTGAGCAGAAATGACTGTTCACTAAGAAATGTTCTGATTTAATGTTTGCTGTTCATTAAGGGAGAGACATCTTTTGAAAGAAGCAAAAAAGGGAAGGAATATATTCTTATTGTGCCATTGCCTAAATCAGCGATGCATTCTCATTTTGTGCTCTACTTGGTTTTGGTCACTTTGATCAAAAGTGATACACAGGAAGAAAAGAACACATTCAGAGAAATTTTGGCACCAAATTGATTGGACAGGAGAACAAACAGTCCCAACCAAAGCAAGACTATAAAATGCAACAGTAACAGTTGAATTCTCCTATGTGTTTATATAACAGGTACAGGATTACATGGAGATCATATTACTTCATTATTTCAAGCAAAAATGGGTGCCCACAATGAAAAAATTATTATTTCTACATTATTATTACATATGTTGTTGCAATTAAAAATTACCCTGAAGAACTGATTTCTACTGAGTATAATGCAAACAGTTTGCTGAGATTTACAAATGGCTTAGAAATGTGTATGATTTCAGTACAAATGTACACCTGGGATGAGACAGCAGGAGTACCCACTGCATACTTCCTGGGGATCCTGGCTATAGCTTCACCCAGAAAGAAACTTTCCATATGACAGTGTTAGTCAATCCTCATCTGTTACAGTACCAGAAAGCTCAAGGGGCAAAATAGCACTTTGTATGGACTAGTGATTTGCATGGTAACCTGCCCATATGCTATGCAGAGACACTGGTGAATAGAAGGACATTTTCCATCTTCAATGACCACTTTCAACTGACTTGGGAGTACAACAAAAGCAAGTTGCTCCCCCCACCCCTGGCTCTGAAATGTCCTCCTGTCACTTATGTGACATTGAAGTGTGTTAATGCCTTTTTGGTGGCTCTCTCAGTGTTGCAAAAGCTCTGCCTTGCCAATGGGAGATGGTCACTGTGACTACAGGGACTGTGCTGTGTCTGAAGAGAAACCTCTGCCATGGCAACAAAATGCCACAAAAGCTCTCAGGACTTTCTTCCACTACCATTCCTTTGTTTTCAGACAGCCAAGGGGAGTAGGATAATCTCCATGAAATGGAGAGAGATGAATGGAATAGAGACAAACACCTGAGATACCTGCCTGTAGCATAAATAAGCAGCACTCCCCTGTTCTGCATTGAAAGGGCATTGCTCTCTTTGTAACTGCAGCCTAACCATGATAGTGTTGGAATAAAATGGAAAGGAGACAGAGGGAAGGAAAAGTAGTAGTGATTTTTTTTTCTTTTCATTGTGCCAGGCAAGTCCTCATTCAGAAAAATGTTTTATGGATCTTTTTTTATGCTCGAGAGATTTAGATTTCCATTTTCTTTAAAGTACATTTTTTAAGGCACATTTATATCTCTTTCACGCAGCAGTGCATGTGTATGGCTGAAGCTCTCATTTCCTCGCCTGACATCAACTCTCCTTTAGAAAAAACATGAGTTTCTAGCCATAATATTTGACATGGAAAACTTGTCAGTTTATTCAAAGAGCTCAATGAGCTAGGAAGACCAACACTTGAACCATCAACACAATAGTTTAGTTGCCAATGTTATTAAATATTAATCCCAATTTATGTAGGTGTTTAATCAAATAGCAGCCTTGGTCAGCTTTGGGGACTGAAGGAAAATTTAGTTGTTGAAGTTAATTGAATGAGCTGATCAAGTTATATAACAATCGCCCTACAATATTGAAATCAAACTTAATATGAAAAGTTATTATCACACAGATAGGATGGAGCTGCCAGCTCCATACTGACAATATAATTGGTATTCTCAACAGCCTGCCAATCTAGTTACATTTCTGGCTTAGGCAAATCTAGCTATCATAAATGGCTGCATGCAGTAGGCTTACAGAATAAAGTATTTACAATTTCATGGATAAAGAGCATCCACTGCCATAAGAATGGCATAAAAGAAAAAAGGAAAGTAAAATACTGTCCATTTTTCTAAGGTAAACCATTTCATTATTGGTTTAAATGCCAGGGTACATAGAAAAGTACTTAATGTCTCTATTTCTCCCTCCTATAAATGCTACCAAAATCTCTCAAATTAGAGGCCTCATTTTCCTAAAATGCTGAGCAGACTGAAAAAAACCCAATCAACACATTGAAGACTTTGCTATTGCCAGAGCTCTACCTTGCAGCAAGGAAGAAAGGCTACTGGAGCCAAGGGCAGAGGGATTCAGGGAAGCTCAGCTGAGAGATGGGTGAAAAGGTAGGGTGAACCAAAACTTTTGACTACATACTCCTATGCTGGGAAATCACAAGTGTTTGTGTAAGGATTTTGTCCAAAATCCTTATACAAACAGTTGGGAATCATGCTAATGGACTCTGAGTTGGGAAATGGGATGGCCTGTGTTACTGTGTTCACCCTCCTTATGGCACTGTAAAAACCAGTAAATTTTGGATGCTTTCCCTCTGTTCAGAAAAGGTTTCATAAACTCAAAGTTTAAAAAAATGAACATAAGCCTCAACGATTTTATTATTTTCCCACTTACAAAAAGCATAAAGAACTAGTAATATATATGAATTCAGAATTGGTGTTTTACTGACAAGAGTATCTCTGATCAAGCATTCACTATGTTGATAATGGCTGTTAGCTTGTTTTATGAAGAATATCAATTGACAGATAAAGAGAAGACTTTTCACAAAAGGAGCAGCACATTAAGCTTCCAACATGTCTGCATCCCTTCTGCTACCATGTACTCCTGGACACATGTGGTTTGATGCAAGGTACTATCTGTTTTTGCTGAGCTTCAAGATGGGGAGCAGAGGGGAGAGACAGGCTATGAGAGAGTGTGGACATTTGTAATGGCATGATTGGAACCAATGCTGTTTACCACAGAGCTCAGCACAGAGATCTAGGATCCTAAGCTCTCACATATTAGTCTTTGAATCCCCCCCCATCAATGCTCAGTTTCAAGAAAAAGAAGTGTAGTTTTATCTGAGAGAAGTAGAATTTTGGTAAAAGCATGGTGTCATGCAAGTACATTTCTCAAAATTTAGAATAAACAAAGAAAAATCTTGCATTAAATTTCTGTTTTAAGAGAAATGAGTATACATTCTTTGAATCTCTTGATTCTTACTCATATTTCCATTAAGTTCATTCCATGAAACCAGAAAAAACCTCAGACTCAAATGAGCAAAGAACAAGAGTCAGTACCTAGATAATGTAAAGAATGACATTCAAAAAAACCATTTTCAGAGCTCCCAAGAAACTGAGAATCTTTATAGCCAAAGAAGTCCTCCAAAGAAGGACTATGTCACAGGAAAGACATAATTAACTCCACAGAAACAACATTGAAACAGCACAAAATTTAAATGAAAATCCCTGTGATCCAGTCTTACCTTCCTGATGCCTTCAGAAGGGTTCGATACACAATTATCTGCCCCATTATTCTTACTGATAGTTCTCCACAGTTCAGCAAACGTGTTATCCTGCTCCAAAGGGTTGGTCCCTTTTGCTTTAAAGTATTCATACACTGCTGAATCCCTGACTGTACCATAAGATATATCCATTTGTTTGGACAGATCCTGAAATGTTCTGAAATTCAAGTGATATTGAGATGTTAGTATTATGTAGTACATAACCAAGACTTCATTAATTAAATGGCTTCTTTTTGTGTCTGCCATTAGTCAGAAAGCACTTACCCTCACCAAGTAACATTTGCATATCTCATTCCTCATCATATAAGAAAACCAAGGGGCTATTTAATTGTATTGAGATCATATGATTGCAACTATACCCAAGCTCTGTTTCACCCCAGTGAAGACTTTTCTTTTTTGACAGATAGCATTCATATTAAATATTATGCCACCAAGATTCCACAAGAATCTAATGTGATAAATACTTACCTGAGAACAGGAAAAACTCAGATTATAAACATAAACTTCCAGCCCCATCAGCAGCACCAGAAATACCTTGCAGAATTCAGTGGAATTAGTTTGCAGTTACACCAATGCTCCATCTGACTCCAAATCAATATGACTGTTTTAAACAAACAAATAAGAGTCTCACTTCCAATTTCCACTAAGCCTCTCTCCCTCTCTCTTTTCACAGCCTCTGGTAAAACAGGCATTTTTCATTCACACACAGGCCTAACTTTCATTTACTCATCATATACCACTCTGGAAGTGTAAATGGGCCTCACCCTGAGTGGCTGTGAATGCACAATTTATTTTCAAATTGTACAGAATGTAATTCACTCCTGTTTTACAGCCTTTTCTGCACTGAAAGGTGTAAATCACTGCCTGCATCAATGAAAACCAGTCCAAGTTTCAAAACATTTAAGGTGGCATCACTGCCACCAGAAGCATCCTAGCTGCTTTCCCCCTTTCAGACATACATTCCCATTCCTGTGCCTGCTTCTTCTGTTCACAAGGATCACTTCTGTGCAGTGCCATCAGTTTTTTCATCTGAGCATATGCACACACAAACACACATTCAATCATTTACCACCATGGACCAAACTGGATCTCATGGTTATTGACAATTAGCCATTATCAATAATGGTTTATTTCCTGTTTTATAAAGGTGTAACTTCACACATTAATGAAATGTGTCTGATATGACCAACTGACTAAAGCTGCTTGAGATCAGTCAAACTAAAGCAGCTCTCCCTGTTTCCTTCCCTCCACCCCTTTCTTTTACCCAGAACAATCTTTCAGAAATTCCTCCTCAAAATACCTGAGAGACTCACTCATACCAGCTCACCCTGTGCCTCCAACTCCTGAAGCCACAAAAGCAGAACATTTTGCCTTGCAGCTTGTGCAGAAGATTTCTTTGCAATGCTCCAAAGAAGCATTCCCTTGGCCCATGAGCCAAAGCCATTTTCCATAGCTGAAGACTTGCCATAGACAATATTTTGCTGTCACACTCTTCCTTGTTTCAGTGGGGAGATGCTGCTGCTGCTGACACCTCACATCCCTGCAAGAGTCTCTGCAACACTATTTAAAGCAAAGCATATACAATTCTATATAAAAATATGTAGAAAATTCTTCCCTCTTCTCCATCACATCACCTCCTGGCCTCCCAAGTTTAGCTACAAAAAGGCTCCTTTGCTGGGACCTTCCATGTGGGAGCCTGCCAGCTCTGTCCCCAGGCCTGCAGCCCAGCAGGGATGCTTCTCACCCCCACCCCAACTCTTCAAACTTGCAAGCAGCTTCAAACAGTTTAAGTGGTTTAAGTTCTTAAATTGTGTTAAAGACTATTTATCATTTTAAGCTGTTAAGCAGCTTTAAGTAAGACTGTGTGAACAGTTTTTCTCTATATACATTGCACACTTGTGGATATGGGCTAACTCTACTGAGTTCCATCAGACTCCAAAGCTCTTGTTATTTCCCTAGCTCTGTATATGGCACTTTGATAAAGCACAAATGGACATTCTTGAGGTTGTGAGAAATTCCAAATTCTAATGAAAAATGGGAGAATTTGTCTAGGTTTTATTTCTCTCTTTGTTTAACAGTCCTGGATGGTCTATTCTGGCCTCCTAAATGTTTCCTGCACATTCCATTGAACAGGACCAATTTTCCTCCGTTCTCAATCTAAATGATTACATGCTGCATTTAGTTCTGTCTTTCTTCTTTAAAAAAAGTTTCATCATATCCCATGGAATTGCTTACATCCTGGGAATGGATGATCTGGCTGTTAAAGACACATTTCTGTCTATTTTGTGTACAAAGGATGAAGAAAGGTACTCGATACACACAGGAAGGTTTCTGTGACAACCTTTTCACACCAGGTTTGGCATACAGATTTTGGCATGTGTAGGAGAGCATGTTTGGTAGAAGCACAGTAGCAGAAATAATGTTTAACTAATGTTTTTTAACACAGCTTTCAGCTGATAACAACTTTACAAATGCCTACTGCTCATACTGCCATTCTGTTTGAAAGTTAGAATGTGAGAGTTTGGATATTTACAAAAATAAATAATTAAACTTGCAATTTTAATATTGTCAGTAGTTTTTGGATCACTTCTGCTGCCTCTACTGCTGTAGAAGTTTTTACTCCAGAAACATGTCTTTTGTTTTAGCTAAATTGTACTTTATTGACACTCAGTATTTTTGTTGTAGCTAAATTACATTTTATTGACAACGTACTGTACAAAAAGCACAGTACATGTTGCTTTACAAGCAGCAGTTTCTTCAATTCTCTAAGCATCAGAGGGCTGAGAGAGCAAATTTGGGGTTTTAATCAAGTGCTTTGCAACAAGCAATCAGTACAGGTGGCAGGGAGGGAAGCACAGACTTCACCTGGCTGTGGAGAGTAAGGTGACTATTCCTTTAGCTGGCAGCATTTCCTTGGAAGGGATAATGTGGAGTATTGTGTGTCCTAAGGATTACAGGCACCTTTCTCACAGTGCACTGTTTGGTCCAAACAGCCACTGACACAGGAAATTCTCCATATTACACCACCACTGGAAATAAGAGACACCAAAGGATACAGTGAGTCACAGTAGGTAACCAAGCTTGTGAGTGGTTCCTGTAGCATGAATTCAGAAGGATGGTGACTGTTTGAGTGAGAAAATCACCTTATGCCTTTACCAAATGGACCACTTAGCCAAAAATCTATCTCAGAAATTATCCTGACAGAGAGTGGTCTAGACTACAGTTCTTACTCTGTATGAAAAAAAAAAGTCTCTGTGTTGTATTTCTGCACCGAAAGTGGAGGCAATGCTCAGCATCTCCATGGCTAGAGAAGTGATCAGAAGATTTGGGCATGGTGGGTAGGTTCATATACATAAAAGATGCTAAATGGAGATTAATATTTCCTGCTTTTTACAGGGTGAAGTAAGATAATTACAAGTGCAGGTTTTAAACACTGTTGGTTTACCTCCTTCAGATCTGCCATGGCCAGACATAATCATTCATTGCTACATTTCAGGTACTGGCTCTGTATCTTACAATTGTGTCATTCTCTAAAGGCAGCTGCTCTCACTGTTCTTAAGATTGATTTCTGCAACCAGTTGTTAGCTGGACTCATCTCCTTTAGCCACTCAAACTGTTGTCTCACTTTCCTGTGCAAAGAATTCATGCATTTAATACATAAAATTATTTGCAACAAAAATGTGCAGCATAACAAGATGCCCCATTAACCTTAGCACCTCAATTATTGGATCTCACAACCCATTAAAGGCTCTGTGTAAGTGTGATTAAAGATAAAGCTAGTAAAGCAGAAAAAGCCAATGTTTCTCACTTACCGTTACAGGAGCCCAACTTCAATTTGTAGATAAATACATCCACTGTGTGACTGCTATAATTGACAAGTACATGTAAACCAATTGATTTAAGTAAATACATCTGTGGTCAACCTAAAGAAAGTGTCTTTTAAAACAGTATTACCAGCCAAAATATTTAATGCCTGTAGTTATGTCTGCTAGATGAACACAGCAAACCATATCTATGTCCCAGGGGAATTGCAATTATTTCATGCAGTGTCCACTGAAAACTGGGATCTCTGCTTGTTTTGTTTTTTAGAAACATATTGACATAAAGTATATGCTTCAGAAGATACAGCTGCACTAACATTTATAATTAGACCACTAGAAATAATTGCCAAAATAACAATACTGGCAAAGCTACAATTTTTTGCGATATTTTCTTACGAGTAAAAGCCTTGTATAACTGTAGGTATATAGACTGAAAATATGCTGCCAGTATGGATTTATTTTACTCTGCTACTGCTATAAACCCAAGACTTCTGCATGAATAATATGAACAAATCTTGCCTAAGTGACAGACTAAACTTGTCACTAGGTGCTTTGAGGTAACTGTGGATGAATTAACTCAACCAGAGTCATCAGGATGATCAAATATGATCATCAAGTACTTGCTTATTGAGCTCTTCCTCATCCTTACTGTTCGTTTGTGAAAACATTTTGTAGCAAGCTGCACATCTGAACTCCTGGGTGTAAACAGGCCAGCAACTGGCACCATGGTGTCATCCAGGAGTGATCTTCTATATCACAATAATACATGCAACATTTTATCTTGACTTTACCAAATTACAGAATCATAGAACAATCAGAGTTGGAAGGAACCCTTGAGGATCATCTAGTCCAACTCTTGGCCCTGCACAGGACATCCCCAATAATCACACTGTGTACTTGAGAGCATTGTCCAAATGCCTCTTGAACTCTGTCAGGTTTGGTGCTGTGACAACTTCCCTGGGGAGCCTGTTCTGGTGCTCCAGTATCCAGCCTAAACCTGCCCTGATTCAGACCATTCCCTCGGGTCCTGTCACTGGTTGCCAGAGGGAAGAGGTCAATCCTGCCCCTCCACTTTCTTTCATGAGGAAGTTGTATACAGTGATGAGGTCTTCCCTCAGTCTCCTCCAGGCTGAACAGACCAAGTGACCTCAGCCACTCCTCATATGGCTTCCATATATGACTTTAGCATTAGAAAAACAATAATGGGAAAATCCTGACAGATTCTTAATTTAAAGGTAGTTTGTCCTTATCCTTCAGAGCAACCCATGTTCTGGCACTGTAAAACTGGGGATATTTCCAGTCTGCTATTACTTACAGAAAAATAATATTTCAGCAT